CGATTTTTTTTATTTTTAAAACGTTTCCCCGGAAGTGTAACCCTGCTGTGGGAAGCGCAATGCCGGGTTACATTAACCCGGCAGTCGCTTCAACGCATTGCACGTTGCTAGTTAGTTGCTATGTTGTAGCTATTAGCACGACAGCCATTCCTTCGCTGGGAGGGTGACCCGCCGTCCAAGTTGGACAAAAATACGCTGTGAATTTCCTCCCGTTTGTACACATTAACCAGTCAGCGGCTGGCAACTCCAAGACAACGGATCTCGCCGAGTAAACTTCGAGCGTGTTTCCCTTCCTCTGTTAGCTTCGCCAGCTCGCTAGCAGCTAAAGTGCCACCCGGTTCTTGCCCCCACTCTCTGTGCGAACCGTCACCTGCCCGGCTGGAGGACCATGGCGATGAGACAGACTCCGCTCACTTGTTCTGGTCACACTAGGCCTGTCGTGGATTTGGCCTTCAGTGGAATCACCCCTTATGGCTACTTTCTCATTAGCGCCTGCAAAGGTGAGAGTGGCATACTGTACAGTACTCTGGTCTATTTCCTGTGGAACGCTCTTGATTAAGTCCGTATTAAATACAATGCTGAGCTTTCTATTCAATTTGTTTTGTTGCAGGAAACCCCCCGTTTTCCCTCATTTCTAATCGGCCTTGGGCATTATCATCTGTAGTCTGGCCCCCAACTTTTTCAACATATTGGAATGCAACCCCAGCTAAACAAGCCTGGTTTAGATCAAGATGGTTTGCAAAATTTTAGGTGGTGCTCACTCAGTTGAAATCCTTCTGGGATTAACATAACGCCATGGAGGGTTTCCAGTCAGGTTTTAAGATGACGCATAGCACTGAGTCGGGCCTGTTAGGAGTTTTTTTTGGTGACATTCTCCTGGCTAATGTCACTGTAGACTTTGTGTGACTTGTTTTGTCGGATCTGACTGCAGCGTTCGATATTGTGGACGACACTGTTGTTGGAGTCTTTTGTAGCACCAGGTGGGCATTGATGGTAGTGCACTAGAGTGGGTTAGGTCCTATTTGGTGAAAATAACTTTTTGTATTGTCCTCGGTTGCTCTAAGAGTTCTGCTCTGCCCCGCTGTCGTAATCTGTTACGCAGGTTTCAATTTTAGGGCCCCTGCTGTTTTCATTGTATTTGCAAAACAGAAGTTATGGTGTTTGGTCCCAGTGCGTGTCTGTATGATTTATTTTTACTCCATATACAGAACTTTGTATGCAGCAATGGTTGTTTTAAAGTGCTGCATAAATAAATCACTTTGGTCGTATTTCTTTTCTGTTCAGATGGCAAGCCCATGTTGCGCCAGGGAGACACAGGAGACTGGATTGGAACGTTTCTGGGTCACAAAGGTGCTGTCTGGGGAGCCACTCTGAACACTGACGCCACCAAGGCTGCCACTGCCGCGGCAGACTTCTCAGCGTGAGTGGACAAATGCACAAAATCATTCCCTAAACTGGAGAGACTCGATTTAGAATCAATGCTGTGCCAACAACTGCACCGTATTGTTCCACTGGCCTTGCTGATATGAATAAATGATGATGATAAATAACTGTAGCGTGGCAAATGTTTAGTTATGCACTTATTATATTTTCCAGGAAAGTGTGGGATGCAGTCAGTGGTGACGAAGTCCTCACATTGGCACACAAACATATCGTAAAGACAGTCACCTTTACTCAGGTGAGTGTGGAAGCTTTAATCATCTAGACGTTTACCCATTTACAGTCAATATTTATGTATCTCCGTCAAAACTTTTTCCTTCTCAGGACAGTAACTGTTTATTGACTGGAGGAAATGATAAACTCCTGCGCATCTATGATCTCAGCAGCCCCGATGCCGGTGTGTAAATCTGGGAAATTATGTTATTTTATTTGGTGCTCAATCAGCGCAATAGTTTACGGAGCCCCTCTGGTGCCAAAGTATTTCCATCTGAAATGCATTTATGAGTACATATTTGGTGTCTCCAGCACCACAGGAGATTGCTGGTCATACCTCGCCTATCAGGAAGGCCCTGTGGTGTAATGACGACAAACAGATTCTCTCAGCAGCGGAGGATAAAACCATACGGTCAGTGAAGCGGCGCCTCCTGGATGAGCAGAAAATGTCGTTAGAATTATACATTGAAATATTCCTCGATCCAGTGGTGAACGAAAGATGCAGTGGTTTTATAATCGTATCCAAGCACCGGACGTAATATCAGAAGAAGCAATGGTCAGTGCCAATGTCCAATGCCAAACAGCCGTTGTATTTTTGACGTTTTTTAATTTTTGAACGTGACCAGACTATGGGACAGGACCTCCATGGAGGTGGTGAACACGCTGACGTTTGACACGTCCGTGAGCAGCATGGAGTACGTGGTTGACGGCGAGGTCCTTGTGATCACATATGGGAAGACGATTGCTTTCTACAACGCTCTCAGGTATGTCACAGCGAGGGCCACACCATTTAAAAAAAAAAAAACAAAAAAAACTTTGGGAATAAATAACAATGGAACTCATCTGCAATGTCATTATGCAGCCTTGACCTGATCAAGTCTGTGGATGCCCCAGCGACCATCAACTCGGCATCGCTCCACCCAGACAAGGACTTTTTTGTCGCAGGGGGAGAGGACTTCAAGCTCTACAAATACGACTATAGCACCAAGGAAGAACTGGGTAAGAGGTTTTGCTGTTTGGCAATTCTTCGGAGCAATTATCTTTGAATCAGACAACTGTTTCACGTGTAACGTGTTATGATGTACACCCAACTTTTTTCTTCCCCATTTCAAAGCACTCTAAAGACTTGTTTTCTTTTTTGATCGCCAAATGTTTGCTTTTGGCAAATTTTTGTCAACTTGTGGCCTTGCCCACTCGCCCTACTGTATCACATGACTCAGTTTGTGTACTGTGACAGACCTGTTTACACTCTGATCAATAACATATTTTTTAATGTACAGTCAAACTGGCTGTCTGTCAAAGTTACCAGTGTAAATTCCTTTTTTTTGGGGGGGGGGAGAGAAGCGAGAGGATATTGTTGTTCCATGATCGTATGATAATTAATGGCCAATTCATTCTTAATAGTGTGTCTCTGGTGAAATAAAATTAGCATGGGATTTGGAGCCCCCTTGTGGACAAAACTATGCACCACTTGTAAATATGTACCAAATGACAAGTACCTTTTAATGGTGACTTGAGTGGTCTTGTCAACGCCATGATGTGTTTCTCTCATCCACAGAATCCTATAAAGGTCACTTTGGTCCCGTGCACTGTGTCCGCTTCAGTCCGGATGGCGAGCTGTACGCCAGCGGCTCTGAGGACGGCACGCTTCGTCTGTGGCAAACAGCAGTGGGGAAAACCTATGGCCTTTGGAAATGCGTTCTTCCTGGTAAACCTGCTGCTTTCATTTCAAGCCTTTTTTTCTATGTTGTTGTCTACCATGTCTGTTTTTGTGTCACTCTTCAGAGGAGCTTGCGGCAGAGAACACGGAGCAGATATACACCTCACCTCCTGAAATTAAAGCCTAAAGAGAGAGAGAAGCGTGCCGCTGATTGGGGGAGGAAAACAAGACCCGAGGAAGACGCAGCTGACACGGCGGTCCCGGTTGAGTTCTATCAGGCCCCAGCAAGGACAAGAGTCCCGAGCATCTCCATCTATCAGGAACTGATGTTGAAAATGTGGCCGACTTGTTGTCTGTCATGCAACACACACCAACACACACACACAGATACACACAAACGCACATTTATGCAGGCATGTAGACAATAAGGGCGACAGAGACAAGCAGTAGAGCTATACGTACGTGCCGCTCATTCATAGCTGCCTGCTTTGTCTCTGATCAGCCCGGTTGGTATGTCGGCTTAAACATGTCTACACGTGGACATTGCTAAGTTCAATTTTGGTTCGATTTCATTATTTAATGAGCTGGACCCAGGCTGTTGTTTTCAGTTCAATCGCAATACGGGAGCCTGTTGTGCCACGTGAGAGCTTTTGTTTAATCGCTTTAAGGATTCACCGCTGCTGTGCTCGTAAGAGACAGGTTAAGTCTAAGTGTCAAAGAATGTTTTGTGACAAAAAGTGGAAGAGGAAGAAATGTCACCGTTTGACTTTTTGGTTGTTTATCATTAACCAGTGGTTGAATAAAGAAATGTGTTGCTGTTTTATGTCAATGTTATGCACACCAAGCCAGTCAGTGCTTTGTAGTTATTGCGTGAGAAAAATCTGAAATGAGAATTTTTGATCAAGTAACGCAGAGATTTTTATCACCCCAAAAAGTAACCTTGAAAAAAGGATTTTGATTTGATGAACCCGACTCGAATCGTTATATTTTAAAATTGTTGCAGCCATGACTTGTCTTGAATTGTCTTTTATGACGGGTGTACCCCAGATATAAATCGGTTTGATGCTGCTGAAAATGTGTTTCGTTGCATTTCATGGACTTGGATAATTTGTCTTTTGGAGAGCTTTTACACGATGGACATTGACCCTACACATTTTGCAATCCAGCACTATAAACCTTTAAATCCAAATCAAATCGGCACCCTAATCCTGTTCATTATTGGAAAGGTGGTATTTTGGTTCATAAGATCCATCTCTCATTGTTTGCTTCTGTGCACGGGAGTCAAACACCAATATTGTACGGTGGGAAAATATTGCCGCTGACGTGTCTGTTTTTGTGTCACTCTTCAGAGGAGCTTGCGGCAGAGAACACGGAGCAGATATACACCTCACCTCCTGAAATTAAAGCCTAAAGAGAGAGAGAAGCGTGCCGCTGATTGGGGGAGGAAAACAAGACCCGAGGAAGACGCAGCTGACACGGCGGTCCCGGTTGAGTTCTATCAGGCCCCAGCAAGGACAAGAGTCCCGAGCATCTCCATCTATCAGGAACTGATGTTGAAAATGTGGCCGACTTGTTGTCTGTCATGCAACACACACCAACACACACACACAGATACACACAAACGCACATTTATGCAGGCATGTAGACAATAAGGGCGACAGAGACAAGCAGTAGAGCTATACGCTCATTCATAGCTGCCTGCTTTGTCTCTGATCAGCCCGGTTGGTATGTCGGCTTAAACATGTCTACACGTGGACATTGCTAAGTTCAATTTTGGTTCGATTTCATTATTTAATGAGCTGGACCCAGGCTGTTGTTTTCAGTTCAATCGCAATACGGGAGCCTGTTGTGCCACGTGAGAGCTTTTGTTTAATCGCTTTAAGGATTCACCGCTGCTGTGCTCGTAAGAGACAGGTCAAGTCTAAGTGTCAAAGAATGTTTTGTGACAAAAAGTGGAAGAGGAAGAAATGTCACCGTTTGACTTTTTGGTTGTTTATCATTAACCAGTGGTTGAATAAAGAAATGTGTTGCTGTTTTATGTCAATGTTATGCACACCAAGCCAGTCAGTGCTTTGTAGTTATTGCGTGAGAAAAATCTGAAATGAGAATTTTTGATCAAGTAACGCAGAGATTTTTATCACCCCAAAAAGTAACCTTGAAAAAAGGATTTTGATTTGATGAACCCGACTCGAATCGTTATATTTTAAAATTGTTGCAGCCATGACTTGTCTTGAATTGTCTTTTATGACGGGTGTACCCCAGATATAAATCGGTTTGATGCTGCTGAAAATGTGTTTCGTTGCATTTCATGGACTTGGATAATTTGTCTTTTGGAGAGCTTTTACACGATGGACATTGACCCTACACATTTTGCAATCCAGCACTATAAACCTTTAAATCCAAATCAAATCGGCACCCTAATCCTGTTCATTATTGGAAAGGTGGTATTTTGGTTCATAAGATCCATCTCTCATCTCTCATTGTTTGCTTCTGTGCACGGGAGTCAAACACCAATATTGTACGGTGGGAAAATATTGCCGCTGACGCGATTGACAGCAGCAGCACCAAGCCGCAACATTTTCCAGTGGCCCTACGATACCATCATTCTGAAAAATTGCTCTGGTGGCGGGGCTGGAGCTGCTTACGGTAGCATTTTTAATTCAGAAATATTTACAGTGTACTCCATCCAGTCAATGAACACGTTGAATTGATCGCCGGCCTCCATTCATTCACACCCATCTCACCCCCCGTTCATCAAATTGGCGTGACCTATCGCTGCTGGCATCATGAAGAAGGCGGGGGGGAGCAGGGAGACTTTCCCATCTTGAGGATATAAATATGAGGAGGAGGAAGAGCAGCAGAAGTGATTCAGGACCTTTTCACCCTTCTCGACACCGAAGCTGTGCGCTCTTTCATCATGAATGTAAGTCTTCAATTCCGCATTTGAACTTCTAATTTGTAAAAAAAAAAATTTAAAAAAAATGTTTTGATTAACACCTTTCGCAACGTCTTTCTTTTAGGCTGTTTGGGTTTGCAGTTTTCAGTGTTTATCATCATTTTGATTTGTAACCTCTTAACCCCTTATTTCAAAATTACACGATGCAAAAAATGTGTCCTGTTATACTGCAGAAATGACATTTGATCATGAGATGGTCATGCTGTAACATGAGTATACTAGAGTATTAAAATTGATTACCCTTCTCTAACCCCCGCAGGGTTTGAAGACCATCACTTTAACTTATATTCTGACTCTCTTACTGGTTGCGTTTGTCACACAAACCTGGAGCGCGCCGAAGGTTAGGTTTGTTTTTCTTTCTTAAACATTACCGAAAATATGAACAATGACGAATCCATATTTTTGTAATTAATTAAAAAATAATAGATATTGCATGTATATATCTAAAATTGGATATGCAATTTACACGCAAGTTGATGGTTATTTTTTTTTTCCTGACTTTTAGGGCTCTTTCCAAAGGAGAAACTGGACACCGCAGGCTATGCTGTACCTCAAAGGCACTCGTACGTACTTGCAGCTCAACTCGCGTTTTCGTTCATTCCGAAGTTTTATCCTGCGGGTTTCATGAGGTGCTTTTTGATTCTGCGCAATTTTCTCAGAAGGACGCAGGTTCATCTCAGAGGACCGAAAAGAGGGCGACGTGTATGACACTTTACACTTAGGTACAACCTTACATTGCTACAGAAGTAAAAATTGAATTGTCAAATTTTCAACAGACTTTAAATTGTCTACTGGTGTGCCAAACTCCATTTGGGTTGGCTCCAGTTCCTCGCAACCTTGAATGATCAATACGGTACAAGAAGCCAGAATCATGGTTAGTTAAAAACAACAGGAAATGTAATACAATAAAAGAATCGGCGACATTGAGATATTTTTAATGACTGCCTCTCTCACAACTTCCAGTAAACAACGTTGCGCTCAAGAGGAACAAATTTAAACCGTCCGTAATAAATCGGCACTTGTGCCGTTTGTTTCCTAACAGAGACCCGCAGTCAGAACACAGAGAAGCTGAGTGTGGACCAGGCTGCCACTATTTTGCTCAACTTCTTGCAGCAAGCTAGGGATGGGGGTAAGCGTAGCAACAAGTGGAATATCTCGCTTGTTCTATATTATCTATTCAATCATTGTTTTAGATTTTTTTTGGGGGGGAGGCGGGGGGGGGGGGGGGGGCGACAGGCACCCAGTGATGATAGTTCCAGAAATTATTTTCTTGCAGTAACTGCTTCGAATAGGTTGGGCGCAAGAGTTCCATCCTTTTATTATTTTGACATTTTTAAGTACAGTTTCATTGATCATTGTGGGGTTTTCTTTCCGCTACTGACTTTTAGCCTCTGTGTATATATAAAGAATTCTGAAGATAAGAGCAACTAAAAGAATCCAGACAAGTTGTACGAATTGATGCACTGCTCCACCTGAAATGTGACTGTTTCGATGTCTTTTTCTCGTAGCTGATGAAAACCTCGAGGAGGTGTACTTCCAGGAGATGCCAGTGTGGAAGAGAGAATACTTCTGAAAGTCGTCCTCCGCTCCCTGGTCCGACGGATGTCGTCGTCCATTTCTGCGCGGGGGGAGAAGAACGGATGTTTTCTACATTGTATCGCCGACTCTGAAAACTGTATATTTGAAATGTGACGTTTTAATAAACTGAAAGCACCATTTTTGTGATGTTGAAAATATTTAAATACAAGTGAACCAAAACACAATTGTATAATATTGGTATGAATATAAAACTGTTTATTCAAAATGAAAAAAATCTACTGGTAGTTCAGACGTCTCCTGGACACCTCCCCGGTGAAGTGCAATTTTCCCCAGAGTAGAAAATATTCACATGTGTCTATTAATTTATTCAGTCGTCCACTGAGGTCAATTTAAAATGTTTGCTATCATTTAAAGCGACTCAGTCCTACATTCTTGACATGTCACTCGAATTTAAATAATTGAAGTCTGACCTTACCCTCTTTAGGAATCCTGGAGATCAGTAAAAATCTTAGTTTTTGTCTTCTGGCGCCGTACCCAGGACGAAGGGAGCCTTGATGTTCAGTCGGTCCTTTTCGGCCTCCTCGTCTTCATCGTAGGGTTCATCATCATCGTCGTCGTCGTCCTCCACGTCGCTGTGGTGGGGCGTGGAGTGGACCGAAACCGACGGAGAGGGGGGCACCGAGTAAGGCCGGGGATAGCGGAAACCCTCCATCTGTGGACAGAGAAGATGAATATTGGCCAATTCTATCGTTAAAAGAGACCTTCGGGAACATAAAATCAAAAACATTGGACTTTGTCAAATAACTCAAAAAAGGTTTGTAATAATGTACCCAATAATAAGAATAAAAAACAAGATTTTTTTTTTTAATTGTCACTATGTAAATAAAATGTCCAGTAATGGATATGAACAATGCATATCATGTAAGGATGCACAATGCATTCCTGAAATCCATGCAAAAGGCAGCCTTGTTGTATTGTGACACAATGTAACAATCGGCACTCCAAAGCTTGTCAATCACCCAAATGCTAAGCTGCCAATTAATGCCCGAAAAATGAGGGACGGATACAACCGCATCCATGTCTCTCAGAACAGGAGCACCTCTAAAAATTCAAAGGAAGGTAAAAACAAAGCATGTTTTCTTGGGATGACACCAGCACTATTTTATACATTTATTTGACTTTGTTCACAAAATACACACAGCTCGACTAATGTGGAGCAGCGTAACGTTGTGTTGACTTTTCATTGGCTATGGGCAAATGTCTGATTTTTGTCAATACCCTAACCCATTATTAATTTGGATCTTAGGATCTGACCTTTAAAGGCGCCATTGGGTCCACTTTAAACTTGTCAGGGAAAGCTCTGCTCAGCGCAAGGAGGCGTGCGTGAATGTAGAACTGTAAATGAGAAGTCGATAATTTCGTCAGCGGTGACTTCATCAGAGAAATTGAAAACACACTTTTAATGCAATGGCTTTCAAAGCGAGAGTTTATAAATTCCAAATCTTTGTTGTGGCCAATGCAACCATTTTGGAACGTCCTGAAGAAAAAAAAGAAAACCACTGTACACTCCACAACAGCAGTTTAGGATCATGTGAGCCAGGAAGAAAAAAAAAGGACTAAAAGCATTTGTCGTCTATTGGCAAAAAGCTCCAGCGACAATCCCGCAAAGGGCAACATTAAATTTCCGACTGTCTATTATTTAAACTGAATAGCGACTGTTTTGCGTGCACAAACCCGTCCCAGGTATCTCCAGTCCAACAGGTCAGACAACCTCTCCGCTCTGTTGCGCTGGATGATGCGCTGACGCCGCGACTGCTGGCAGAAACTGAACATGAACTGAGTCAGCTGGTTGCAGGACTCATCGGCAGAACGGAACCGCCGGTCCACGATGTAAATACCTGAGAAAAGAGTGAAGGGAAAAAGAAAAAAATGGCATTGCATTTTTCTGGATCGCGACGCTATTTTAGGTGTGCGTGTGTGTGCACACCATAGGCGGCAGGGTCTGATACATGTTCCTCCATGAAGCACCCAAAACCAGAAAGGTTTGTCGTCACACTGGGAATGCCCATTACTGTGCATTCACCTGAGGAATAGTACAAGAAATAAAAAAACATCAAACGACAATATGGCTAACACAGTGGTAGCAAGAACAAACTACAAGTATTGAAAACATCGCTTGTCTGACTGTCGTGAGCGTACCTGGTGTGTATCCCCAAGGCTCATAGTAGGAGGGGAATACGCCGAGGTTACAGCCACGGACAAAGTCCTCATAGTCTAGCGGCAGCAGAGGACTCGTAGAGGACAGAAATTCGGGATGGAAGATCACCTGGGGAGGAGAAACGCATCATCAGAGCTTTAGAAACAGTACTGTTCAGGTCATTGTGGACTGAAATCCAAATGGGCAACAAGTAAAACTCTCACAGGGAGGCGATCAATATGCAGGCGAGTACCTTAACACGGTCGTTCCTGGAATTGAAGAGGCCGATCCGTCGGATGTTCGCGAGGATGGGATCTGATGAGTCATCAAGCATGTTGTGGGTTGTCACTGGAGGGAGGCTGTGTCTCTGTCAAAAGAGCGCACATGAGGACCATCCATTCTTGACATATAAAAGCCATTTTGCCTTAGAAATCTTTTTTTCATTACCCTACCAACAAAAACTGTTTTTAATTATTAATTATTATGATTATTTTTTAAATGAAATAATGTAATGTAGAACTGTAGCTGAGGTAGCTAACATTTAAAGCTGCAATGCCTGCCCGGACTGTAGCCTGGACCGGAGCGTGACAGTCAATGGTTCTGAAACTTTGTGAAATAAACAAGGGGGTTACTGCAAAGAGTGGTGGGGTGTGGGGGGGGGGGGGGGATAAAAACTCGGGGGACAGCGGATGAAAAACGACCAATCACAACAACTCATTCTCGAGTTAGCGATGAGGACATTCAGTCCATCATGCCCGCCGGACATTTGTAGTGAGTCCCATTTGCACTCAATTTCAAAACCTCTGAAATATTGACATTAACATAAATTTCTTTCATTGAGAAAGACCTTTGAATCGGATTTAGATTTCAACTCTCTGTTATGACGTAGATCACACTGACACAACCAGTCGATTAAACCAGAGTCTGGGATAGGAGATGGTAATTGAGTCTCGCTAAGTTATTGCGCTGACTTTCATTCATGGTTTACCACACATGAGGATCTACCTCATACCACTTTCAATAATTCAGTAGCAGTGGGCGCCATCACTCTCATTGATCGCTACTTGGGAAATGTGGATCCATTCAGAAAAAAAAAAAAATAGAAGGAGCTGAGGTTGTTCGAGTAAGGCGAAGAGTCCAGATGTCCAACTGCTTTGTACACGCAGCCCAGAAAAAAAAAAAAGTAGTTCAGATGACAGTACCTGAGTGGCGTAGATGGCTCTCTTCATTATAGTGAAGTCATCCCGGTCCAGAATGGAGTCCATATCAGGGATCTTGCCTCTGATCACAACACCGGTTATTTAAACCAGATTTTATCACAAAAAACTCAAGGCTCATTTTATTACAAAAAAATACAAAACAACTTACATTAAGAGCGCATCATACAGCCTTTTCCCAAACTTCTCTTTCACAGTGTGGGCCGTATCCCTGTGGAGTAGAAACCACACTTGGAAATAATTACACTACGTAAGTCATCTTTTTTTTCTGCTCATGGCTTCTTTTATATGGCCAATATGTAATATCTATTTCAAGACAGATATAGGAGTATTTGGGGCACTCTAAAAAAAAAAAAAGGAATATTAGGAGAATGAAATCCTAATTCGATAATATTTTTGGATGGAGGTGGGATTGCACCAGGGATCAACTCTAAACCTCTTGCTTTTTGCAATAGCGATGGATTGGCTGACAGATTTAGTTTAGGTTAGACTGGAATCCCCATGAATGACAATTAAATAAATTCATTAATGAGCATGAAATTAAACCACCGCATGGCATACCAGAGTTGTTTGCGTACAGCTTGCCCCTTCAGGGATTCCACATTGAAGTTGTTGGTCTTAGCTGGCATGATAAAGAAAACGACCACCGTCACATCATTTCTGTGGACCTGAGGCAGGGATTGAGCAAGAAGAATGGTTTACGCATGGCACAGATTGTTCTGAACAGAAGATTTGCCCTCTGGGATTGAAGACTCACTCGAAGCAGGTAGTTGAGCCTGGATAGCGACTCGAGGAAAAGATCGGCTCCCTTGTTGGAGAACTCATAGCGCCCAGCGATGAAGAAGAATAGCGTTTTATCGAGGTTGAAGTCCAGATGTCTGTTAAAATGAACACATTGGTTTCGCAAACCAATTGATTCTGTGGACAATTCAGACGCTTCATTTGTTCATTACTAAGACTCACCCGTAGAAATGTCCTCGGACAAACTCCTGGATGCGAGCCTTGTTGATGGAGTGTAGGTTCTGAAACTCATGCATGGCTGAGAACTTTTTTACATTCAGTCCATTAGGAGTCACCACATCTGCTCGGTGAACACATTAAAAGGAGACGCATAAGCGAAGAGAAACACAATGACTTCACGTCTTTAAAACTGTGACGCATGCCTCTGAGCGAATTGTCTATTTATATTGCCCCTCCACCCCCACCCCAGAAAAGTCCACAGAATCATCTAGATGCAAAAACTCACATACCGTGAAACCTAAAAGTCTACCTGGCTTTCTATGTAGCATATGATTGGCCTCCACAGCAGTGATCTGCGAGACTGTTGTGAAGACGTGAGAACAATGGACAGCGGCTCTCTCCAAGCAGTAGCGATGGTAAATCTGACGCTCGCCGGCCTCCTTGTCGATGTTGAACTGCAGCGTGTACACACCCACACACACGGAGCAACATTTATTAAAATTACAAAGTAGTCAAAGTCTTTTGGCAAGCAGATCACGTTCGCAATCTGCGCATCAGCTGAAAATGGATAATGCGTTCCAAATGATTGCATCCATAAAACTGATGAACAAAATATGGATTCGCCGCTTCAGGTCGAACAGCGTACGTTTGTTGTCAATCATCCACTCAGCCGGTGAGTGGCCTTTCGCTCGAATGTTGACCTTTACAATGGGCCAATTACAAAACCCCATTCACACACATTTCAACACCTTTAAACAATACTCGAAGTGCTTGTAAAGGTCTACAGACTGCGGTCAGTTTCCACGAAACAGTACGACAATTGATGATATTCAGTTTAAGACCTTCAAGTGCGGTTAGGGCCATTCATAGTTCCTTGACGTAAACTTTACCTTATCTAAGTTGTTGTAGAAGTCAACATTCCCTGCGCAGAGATATCGTCCCAGCAGAGTTGCATGAGTAGTGAAGACGGTTGCCATGGGGATCTTCCGAGAGCGACAGAGAATAAGCCCGGGACCTGCTTGCCACTCATGGAAATGAGCGATGACGTTGGGCTTGTCTCCAAGCAGGTCTGTTAACTGGAAACAAAAGGGCATCATTATTTTTCGATACCTGGGAGAAAAATCTCATCTGTTCTTGAATGATTGAGAAAGGTTATTGGGGGGGGGGGGGGGAAAGGACCTCTTTGAAGAACCAGGCAATCAGCGATCCCAGGATGAGCGAGTCATTTGCTTCGCGATCTTGGTAGGGCAAACCGATGTTGCAGGTCTCCCATAGGTCACCCTTCCAACGGTCCAGGTTCCAAGCGGCCGTTCCAATGTCAAAAAGGATCACATAGGGACTGCCCTCAATTAGCCAGCGGCCAAAATAAGCCTAAAACAAAGAGCGGGCAAAAAAGTCATTTGCTGTATAATTTCTGACCTTCGACATACATGTCTTGATGTCAGAAACATAAAATGATCTCGTGTCAAAACCAATGATGCCAATTTCGGGTAGTTGCGGCCAAAACTTGTTCAGTTGTTTCTTAAGATGAATGGAACAATTTTCTCCTTCATCCTCACATCTGGCCAGACCAGACTGCAGTCACAGTGGGCCATGGTGTACAATTGCCATCTAGTGGTTACATGTATTAATGGCTGAAGCTATATTATGGGGAAAAATAATGTGTGTGTTCATAATGTCTCAAACCTGGCAACCATTCTGGATCAGAGCATCCAAAGCCTTCTTGATTGGAGGAAAAGGTGGCTCGCAGGCTTCCACCTGAGTCTTGAAGTTGTGTTCAAAATAGGGCCCCAACATGAAGTAGTTCTCCCCCCATTCGTCCACAGTGATCTTGGCCTTGGTCTGAATCACAGTGTAAATTCCGCCGACTGTACCAAACACAAACCGAGACCAATTAGTGCTCCCATCCATTCATTTTCAAAAATCCCGATACTTTGTTTTGTTTTTTTAATTCAGAGCGCTGCAGTGAGGAAGCTAACATAATCGAGAGAGCATGTGAATTATATACTTCATGGACTGCGAATGGTGAACTGCCAATCATCTGCGGCGGTCTTGCGTTGTACAACATATCCGGTATACCAGGAGCATATTTTAGACCATTTTAAAACAGGTGGAAGTGTGTGGGGGGGTTCTTTTTTTTTTTCTCCTCCAGTGTCTGACACACAACAGAAAAGACTGTTATGAAAGACCATTAATGCTTACCGAGCCCACAATGACGTAGAAATGACGTCTCGGAGGACAGCATGAAACACCTGAATGGCCTCCGAACTGGACGACGTGACCAGTTAGGGTTAAATTACATTTTGTTTTCCTTTGAAAGTGAGAAGGTGCTACGGTGGTCATTATGTGGTTTTAGAAATGCATGGAGTTATAGTGAAAATAGTGAAGTCCACATATAGAAATAGCTGGTGCCTAGCTTAATGTGTAACTTTTCAAAGGCATTGAACTGTCTCCACTTTCTCTGGCTTTCAATATTTACTCTTGCGTGGAGCACAGTCGCACGTGTTTTGAAGGAACACACACACACAAAAATCTCAATGTAATGCCCCCAAAACAAGGTCTAAATGAAAGAATTGAAACAATATTCTTAATGGACAACAGGAACAAAAACATTCAACCTTTATTGGTGACTTCCCAGGCGACCTCGAAGAGCAGCAGGTCCTCCACGGGCAAGTCATCCTCCTCCCACGCTGGCAGTACGCCACTTAAAGATGTCATCGACAAAGACCGTGACAGAGGCATCTTCACTGTAAACAAACAAACCGCCAAAAAAAAAAAAGTTTCTGATAAAGTTGCAGAAAGATGTGGCGAGATTTTTCTCAACAGGGGACTCAGTATTGGACCTTCACGAGAGAGCAGGACAAGATCGATATGGTGTGACGGGGTAAAGAACTCCCACTGCGCCTTCTGCCACCAACCTTTAGCCCACATAAACACAAACCACGTGAGAACAAAATTGGGCTTAGTGATGTCATCTATGAAGCTGATTGGGAAATGAAGTCGGAAGTGGAAGTATTAAGTATTAAAATGACTTAAAGAGCATCAAGTGATATTTTACATTGATATGACACATTAAAAAAAAGATAGTAGTTGTTTGCAATATCTTGCTAGTAAAGCAAACACTGATCAAAATAATACTTCTTTCCTGATATCTGTTCCAATAACAGTAAATGTGCAATGTCTTTGTATTTTATGGGAATGTTCTGAAATCAGAGTTCTCGGCATACATCAATTTTGAATCCAAACCCAGCAATGACACAGCGACGTTGAATCACTGTTCCCTTTACATGAAATAGATGACCCAAACTACAAACTGAGGTGTCAACATTTTCTGAGAAAAACGAATGAATGATGCATTTCCGCACAGCAATTTACGGAAATGCGGGTGAACGTGATTGGCTGCGAGCTACCGGGGTGCAGGGTCACCTCTTCGAGTGGGATATAAAACAAGTCGCAATGGATGGCGGTGATCATATCGTTGGAGTAGCAAAATATTAACCACATACTTTTGCAGCTTTCGGGACACAAGAGAGGAAGCGAGGGTCTTCTTCTCCCAAGATGAAGTTTGCAGTTGTAGTTATGATGTGTGGGTTGATTTTTGGCGAGGATGCAAGGTGTCTCGGAGCATCTCTGTCAGGATTTCTACCTGAGCAGGAATCACAGGGAACGGGTAACAACTAATGCTCTCCATACAGCATTCCGCTGCTTGCCCAGTTAGTTGTTATTTATTATCTTACAGGTACGATCTTGATTCTCCTCCTTTTCCATTAGATTCCATCCGTTCCAGAAGAAGCGCCGTGGGAGACTTTTTGGAGGATCCCAACCTTTGTTTCTCCCTGAGAGAAAACGACACCCAGCAGCAGCTCCTGTGCAACGACCACAGGAACAAATTCAACGTCAATCCGTTCGGCCTTCGCTTTGGCAAGCGCTACAATCATGCGTCCATCTACAGGAGAGCTCTTCAGAGAGCCAGAACAAGCAGATTTTCACCTCCAACCCTTTTTCCGCGACAACTGGAGGTGCTGACCTGAAGATGATTTTGACTTTGTGCGTGCCATGGTGGACTACAAATAAAGTAGCATGGGAAAAGTGAAAAAGAAATCACATTACTTAATCTCAGTAGTTATTGGACACTCTAGTAAGAGCAATGTAAAATTATTAAAAAGCTTTACTGTACTTTTAGTGGTGAGTAAATTTGACACAAGGTGGCAGTAAAATGCCGTTCACTGTTATCTCCCCCACCTTTTTTTTTTAAACCTGTAATGTAGTCTTGCTGTTGGACACAGCAAAAAGATAAAACCGAGTGTTATTTCATTTCATACAATAATCCACGTTATTTATGTGAAGTCTGACTTCAATTTTTGTTTTGTTTTGTTGAGGCTTGTGGTGTTTATTCGTTTTTTGTTTTCAGCCATCATTTACTTATTATAGTTAGGTTCAATGGAATGATTAAAGTTCATATATCTGACGTTCATTAATTCAGGGGCACTTTTGTTAAATAGTTTTCACCTTCAGTAATTTGTAATGAGTTATTTCCAGTTTTTACAGAATAAAACATACACAAATAACAACTTTTGAGTCAAATGAAAGTTAATTAACTCACTTCTTGGTTTCTTCTTTGATCTTCCAGGCTTTCTATCTCGCTTCTTGGTTTCATGAACATTGATGCTAGTAGCATGTGAAAAGCACAGTCAAGCCGCTGAGCCACAATTGAGCAGCTAACGTTAGCTGTCGTAATTTGCTAATATTACCTCCAAAAGAAATATGAAATTTATATCCTCACATTTTATCGAAATGGAAAACCTGAAACGTAAACTCGCGGTTTCAGGGTCGACAAGCCGCTTTTGATGAATTCCCGCCACAAGGAACCATAGACAATGAACACAAAGTAGATGCTCGATCCGGGTCACTGAGCTGTCACTCAAAAATTAATTAGCCAATCAGAACGCATTTCTCATCAAGCCCACCCACCTGTTCGTGTCAAAAATTAATCAGCCAATCAGAACGCATTTCTCATCAAGCCCACCCATCTGTTAGTGTCATGCGAAAAATCGCGAGAGAAAAGCCTGGAAGCGGAAACGAGAAACGATATCAGTGATACAAAATAAAAATAAAATAAAAATCCAACAAGAGAATTATCAAGGAAAATTGCACTGACACCAGATATTATAAATGGACTACTAAGAAGGAAAAATACAACTTCGATGTGATTTTTAAAATGTGTTCAGAAATCTCCGCTGGACTGAATAGTTCATAAATGGTGGTTAAATACAAATGTGAAATTTGATTCAAAAAAAATGTCACAAATCAATTTTAAAATATACACAAAACAATCATTGTCCATGGGTTGAATTATTTTATTAAGTAACAATTGATTGCTTGAAAGACAATGTGCTTTGGGTTCTATCACACTTTTGGTGTCTTTTGTACAGACTTAAATGTTCTCTAGAATTTCAGATTAATAATACATGGTACATAGACAAGGAAAACTGCACATGTGGAGTCTTGGGCTTTGATCCAGACATCGGGTTCTGTTTTTGTCAGTGTGAAAGAGCAACAGGCTCAGGATCCAGTTTGGTTGTGCTTAAAAGTACACTGATATTGACTACTACACACCTACAACGGTTCAATTTATTAGTCATTTAGGAGAAAATGTGCTTGTGTTTTGAAAGCAAAAAGCACTAGCCAATACTTCAGGTTACATGTCACCATCCATCGTTGTGCTTTCAAAGAATTGTAAGGTTTGACCGAGAGGAATCTAATAAGATGACATTGTGCACGATGACAGGCTTCTCTGGATTACGGTGGTCTGTCAGTGTTCAAACATCCTTGAGGTCGCTCTGGATGCCCCAGAGAGTGTCAGCGCTCTTTTTTATCTGAGCCACTTCACTGTCCGTCAGGGTCATGTTGACGACGCTGCCCACGCCACTGCTATTCAGAACGCAGGGCAGAGACAGGAAGACCTCCTCGCCGATCCCATACATGCCCTTAGTAGACACATGGAGAGTATTTGGACCAAGGTTATAATAATTTGGAATTTTAATTTCAAATGAGCATGCTTGTGTCTTACCTTGACCATGGTGGAAACTGGGTGGACGCGGCTCATGTTCTTGATGATACTCTCTGTCAGGTCGGCAACGCTCAAGCCAATGGCCCAGTTGGTGTAACCCTTCAGCTTGATCACTTCATAGGCACTAGCACACCATGTGGCACTTTGTTAATGTAACGTTTGATGGCATGTGGCTATGGATTCAAAATACCTCAATTTGCAAAAAAAAGAAAATCGTTACTACTGAGTCTTTTCATAATTAAGTGTGAGTGGTGGATGCCCAGATCTGATTACCCAGTAGCCTGAGCCCTGCTGCATTAAGCCCACAAGTGTTCTACGTAACGATCCCACGGGGCACTTTGTACTAAAAACCCGTCGTCGCCGCTTGGCCTCAAATATCAGAGGCACTCCAGTTTTCCCACAGAGACAGCAGCATCGACTACAATCAATTTATGTATTCACTCTCTTTAAACACAAGGAGATTATTTACCCACCGCTCTATGCTATCTAACCACAGAAGCAGGATAAACATTACAGTGATGAGTACACATGATTGTTAAACATATCTCTTTTCATCCTATATGTGAATATATATTCATTTTCACATGGCATACCTGTCCACCACGGCTTTATGTGTGGCCTTCCACTGTTCTTTATCATCATCGCTGCCGATGTCGGGATTCAGCTTCTGCAAGTTGACCCCGGCGACATTCGCACCACTCCACACAGGCACTGGAATAGATAAAGCACAATACTTCTCTGGGTTCATCTGAGATGGAGTGACGTAAAGTGGGAAAAGTGTGCTGTGGTCTGATGAGTCCACATTTCAAATTGCGCGTTTTGTTCTCAGGGTCAAGGCATGCTAGATAATGATGGACAGCTGAGCCGATTCATTGCGGAGACTCACCGCTGGTGTCTCCGTGCTCACCCAGCACCCAGCCATTGAACGAGCTGGCATGGATGCCAAGGCGTTCAGCCATCATGAAGCGAAAGCGGGCAGAGTCCAAGTTGGTGCCACTGCCGATGACGCGGTGTTTGGGCAGGCCGCTCAGCTTCCAGGTCACGTAGGTGAGTATGTCCACTGTGAATGGGTGTGTCATCAAATGGCGTCGAATAATAATTGTGTACTGCAATGACTGCCAACTACATGCAGCTGTTTTGTGCCTACCAGGGTTGGACACAACGATGAGTGTGCATTGTGGGCTGTGCTTCATTATCTGAGGGATGATGGACTTGAAAACGTTTACGTTCCTCTGCACCAAGTTGAGGCGGCTCTCGCCCTCCTGCTGGCGGACTCCGGCAGTCACCACGACCAAGCGAGAGTTGGCAGTCACTGCGTAATCTGGAGGAGTAAAATGAGAACCTTTGTAATGATGAGTGATGAGTAAGCCGCAGAGAGAATGCTAGCCTGTGAGAGCGGTGCGTTCCGACCTTTGTCCGCTACAATTTTGGAGGTCTTGAGGAAAAGGCTGCCGTGCTGCAGGTCCATCACCTCTCCCTTCAGGCGATCCTCCATCACATCCACCAGAGCCAGCTCATCACACAGATCCTTGCAAAGTGAGCACAAGCATCATCGTGCCACACATTCAAGGCGTGGGATTATGAATTTTCAAACATCTCACAGGCCAACGAACGATAAAGGGTGGGGGTTGGGGGCGTTGGTCGGGCGATTTTCTTATCTTTTAGTTTGCTGTAGGCATCAAACTGTCACTGTACTTTGTATGCTGAGTGCCTTACCCGCAGGAGGATGCTGATGGCGCAAGCCATGCCCACCTGGCCCACCCCGACCACAGTCACTTTGTTCCTGGGGGGCTCTGTCGAGCTACCCGGCAGAGGGCTGATGAGTTTCTGTAGCACCGACGACATGATGGAGCTGCAGGGAAGGCATGGAAAGGAGTCATTGTTGCCAGATAATGATTTTTCTGACTCCAGTGGTGACTGTTGTCCCCAAAAAGCGACAAACGATGTCACTTCCGACTAAAAAAACAGGTAACAGGAGCAAAGAGATTTTCACAGACAAGCCCAATTGAAGGCAATAGGCTTTTACAGCAAAAATCATCCATCAACTGAACCATGCAAACGTCCTGGATGATATCAAGGTCAAATGCTTGTGCTGGTCACAAAATGGGGACACTCTGCACAGCTGAAATGACTTTCCCATCTGCGGATGCTAGTTATTTACAGACAAACCATCCACTTTGCTGTAATGTGCTTCAAGTCTGTATTACCCTCCTGTGATTAAAATGCATTGCCTGCTAAAGACATATTTATGTCTTTTACGAATCCAGACATTAAATCCCAGGTACGTGTGTGTACGTGTGTGTGTCTCAATTTATTTATTTTGTTTTTTTTTCACGTGGTAGAGTAAAGGAGGGTCTGAAAATGGCCCACTGTGTGTTTATAGCGAGTCGGTAAATATGGTAGATTCTTCTTTTAATCGTTAGATTTTGGATTATTTAAGTGCTGCTGATCTTATGTAAGAGACCACGCATTATGCAGAATTCGAGATTCAATTTTTCCGCGACTGCGTATGATAAGAGGTTAATCCGCGACTCACGCATGATTTTAGTTAGAAATAAAATAAATCCGTGCAATGAGCACAAACATGACATCGCAAATCAATAAATAGCTCGTTATTCCATGATATAGGTGTCGGCCACTGACCGCGCCGCTCACGAGCAATTACCACAAAGGGGCATTTTTTATTTTTTGTCACGCGTGTGACCAAATAACGTGATGAATGTAACATTTGCGCATTTCAACTCAACGCATCCATCGCTGGTGCGGCGTCGCGCACGCATCTCGACAGACCACCGCAACGAACATTCCAATATACCATAGATAGTGAGACTTACATTTTCTGGCGCTTTTAAAATCCGTTATTCGGACGTTGTCGTGGGCAGGTGGCGAGGCTGAGAGGAGGCTGGCGGGGAACTAAAGTGGGAGGAGGAAGAGGAGGAGGGTGGCTTGGACCACCGGGAGGATGCCAATTGGGGGGAATCGTGAGCATGAGGAGTCAGACGTGACGAATTTCAGCCTCTTCTTGCCACGGCAGATAGTGCGGCATTGTCGCCTCAGCTAAATAGTTGAGACGATATCCTAAACAAGGTTGCATTGTCAATTTCAGGGATTAGTGAGCAAAAACATGGACGGATTTAGAGGATTTTAACACCCCTGAAATATTTGGAATAACTGTATTAAGTGGGCAGCTGGTGCATTCAGGCACGCAACGCTGGTACTACAACTCCCAGAATGCAATACAACAGCTGGCGTGTTCTGTACCTGTCGCAGATATTCTATTGACAGCAAAGGCAGTCATTTTCCCTCGTTACTTGTTTAAAAACAAGAATTTGTCGTCTGAACATTGTATTCTGATTAATATTACCTTTGTGCAATGTGTCACTTTACTGAAAATGGCGTCACAGTGCCAAAGGGTGCAGTATGTGAATGTCACATGACCGAACCCATAAATTTGACAAGTAGCTGCTACCTTCAAATAAGGCCGGATTCGGCCCTATACCGATACCTGGTGTCGGTACTCACCCATCCTTGTATTCACAGAACATGAAAAACTGTTTGTGACCATCAATTTTCAACCCATAGTCTCGGGTTGAAAATTGTGTTTGGCCAAAAGAGCTCAAGCTGGTTGCCCTTTTTTGTTTTTTGAAAAGTGACGTTAGCAAATTTCATGTGTAGCTTCTAATGCGCATTGCACCAACGGTGCCATACATGCATGAGAACATGTACCTCTGCACCCCCCCTGCTGATACTGCACACGTCACACCATGATGGCGTCGGAGATGCAGGCTGTTGCCCAATAGGACGTAGAGGCCCTGCTCCTCTCCCCATCCAACGGGATTAGAGCGGGCTCATCTCTTCAAAGAACCAATCGGCTGCATCGGGAGCTTTTGTGTGGATGCTTGAGTACAGCTGCATTTGAACCATGAAGAGAATGAGAGCGAGAGAGGCTGTTGGGGGGGGGGGATTAAACTTGGAAGGAGGCGGGGCTGTCGTGCTATTACACAACAACACAAAGAGCGGTCATGGAATGTCTCACGCGATTATTTCATGATCCGCCAAAGCTGTCCTCTATATTCTCATTCACACATGGGCAAGAAGGTTGGCACACCTCTGGTAAATGAAAAAATTAAAATATTATAAATAACTAATGAATAAAAATGTAATGAAAACAAATCAATGGAAATCAAATGTTGCTCTTGAATTGTAGGCACTGCACTGTTTGGTGATGTGGAGTGTACTGCACTAAACATGGACAAGAGGAAGCAAAGGAGACAGTCGTCTAAGGAAATAGTATAGTTCTAGTAGGTTCCCCACTTACGCCCTTGCCCTGGAATCACACTCACCACCCAGAAAGGCCCCATGTCCACGTGACCAAGAGCAAATTCAGTACGCTCGAAAGCCTCATGGCATGAGGCGCTAACGTCAATGAATGGACGGATGAATGCCCCTTCGCTGTAGCAGTGCTTTTGTTGTTGCTACCTCTTTCTTTTGTCAGCGACAGATGCCAGCTTTCCAGATCCCATATGCAGATTTCTTGAAACTTCATTTTCGATTCAATTCAGGCTTTGCAATACGTCTGCACGTGATTTTATTTTTAAATATGGGAAAGCTCTTTGAATGTATTTGGGATGAAAGAGTGGAGCTGCCACTGTGGAGTAAAAATATTTTGGCTCATAGGGGTTGTTTTGTGTTATCACAATTTTACAGCAAAAAACAATATGCGGATCATTTTTGATCTTGGAAATTTCCATCAATAGCGGTGGCACAAATGGGCTCCATTTCCCGTGACCTCCCTTCGCTAGCATCCCCAGTTAGGTGCATCCTCTTTCCAACAAGGTTGGCAGCATACAAACTGCCTATTTTATGAGCGACCAAATGGATTCTAATGATGGTTGAGTGTGTGTTGCTATGACCCAGGCCACCCATGCCACCATTAGATGATGCAGATGCCGCTGTTGCGCAGACATCTTTCCACATGTCACACATTAGGCTTCACATGAATTGCTAAATGGGCCAAGGGGCGGTTGATAGTTTTCGGAAATATCACAAAATATGGATATTTCTGACAATACACGCATGTCTTTAAGTCCAGCTGGCACATTTGAGGCTCGTGTCATTCCGTACACTGCCACCTGCTGGTCAGATGTATTAGTAGCATAAATCATGTGTTTTCATTGCACCTGTATAGGAGTGTGTAAAATTACAAAAGTCCCAAACCTTTCCCAAGGATGGAAGTGTTTTTAATTTCCATTTTCAAATCACAGGAGCGGAATAAAATCAAACCAGTGTTGCACAACAAAGGAATATTTGTCCATCTCTTGGTGAGCACAGATTGAACACTCACCTTTTTTATATCTTTAATATACATGATAGTTACAGCCCCATTCATTGAAACAGCTGGACTGAGGGCATAAATATAGAAAACTGCTGTGCGCGCTGAATGCGAGTTGGGAAACGAGTTTTCATCTGTTGGTTGCCATCTAGACGCGTGAGAGGTGGTGGGGTGGGCTTTATTACTCTACGCCAAGCTTTTTCTTCAGGGACTCGGGCATCTCTGGGGGAGGAGGGCGGGGCAGACGGAAGTAGACCTTGACCGAATCATAGATGAACCACTGCAGCGCTGTCAGGGTACCAATCATGATGATACGGGCGATCAAGCCCTTCCACACACCTGCGCAGAACAAAAAAGGCGGATATGCAAAAATACACAAACAGTGTGATTGATGACAACGTACTATTCCATTTCCTTTGACAGATATCCTGATTAAGTGTCCGTCCACCTGGCTAGCAACACTGGGTGATCCCATGTCTGTCGAGGACACGGTTGCCAGTGGCGCGAGTAAGCCGGTGAACAGGTAGACTGCTCTTACACGCCAATGACTCAAGCACCTCCAACAGTACAGCCGGAAAGCTGCAGAGGGGCTCAGCTCAAGAGCACAGCGCCCTCTAGAGGTGGATCTAAGGAGCGTGTCGATCAAAACCGGTTGAAATACTTTTGACACCCACCTCTGGGTCCGAGCCGCTTGAGGACCTGGACGGCGGTGCTTCCCTTCTCCTTGTTTAGCACAGACACCACGGAATCGGCGGGGTGGGACACAATGGCGCAAAACACGCCAGCTGCACACAGAGAGGAAAATGAGTTACTCCAACTGGATTTAAGGTGTTTATTTAAAAAAAAAAAAAAAAAAAAAAAAAAAAAAAGGGGATGTGGGAAAAGAGGGATGTGTGCATTCTAACGTATATGGCAAACAGCGGGATTCCACTGTGCAAAACTTGCGGCGTGAATCCGAATTTTTCCCGTGACTTACCGATGTAACCAGCCACGAAGGTGACCACCAGCTGCTCAGGTTTGCTGCACTCGCTGCGGGGCTTGGGAACGACATACTTGTAGAGCATTTCCACCGTGCGCTCAAAGCAGGCAAATTTCATCATGGTGTAAGGGATCTGCCTCATCCACAGAGGTACCACGCCCTTGTAGAATCTAGGTCAGGTATCGGGGCAAAGACACGAGACGTCACGGCGCTTTTATTTCAAACATCAAGCTAGTACAAATGTCCGTTCCCCTGGCTCGCAACACTGGGCGATCTCCCGTTCACAAAGAACGGAGCTGCCAGCGGTGCGGCTAAGCTGGGAAACAGGTAGACTGCTCTCACACGCCAATGACTCAAGCACCTCCGACCGTACAGCCCGAAAGCTGCTGAGGGCGCCCTGCTCACAGCAGAGCGCCCCCCAGAGGTGGATCTAAGGAACGTGTTTTGTCATTGAAGATAATTCAATGCTGCAGTTGTGTCCCCACTCAGCCACCAATGTGAGTGTTACGCAAACCAGATGGGAAGACGACGGCATCACTTACGCCCAGAGACCCTCCTCGGCGTACATCTTGGGGACACACTCTCGAAGGGTGTTGGCGTAGCCCGGCTGGGTCTGGATGCGCACTTTGACAGCCTCCATAGGAGCCAGGGCGATGTCGGCGAAGAATTCGGCGCTGGCTGAGGCAGCAAGGTACAGCGATGTTCTCCACATGTAGGTGTTCTCCTGTTTGACGACATCACGGAAAATAGAAAGGCAAGTCCAGACTGGCATTTTTTCTTTTGTGTGTGTGAAAGAGAGTTGAGAACACCGCACTCACCTCTCCGAGCAGGTCGCTGTAAAAGATCTTAAACACTTCATAGAAGCCAAACTTGCAGAGTCCCTGCATGGAGTAGCCGATGAAGGTGGGGGCCCAGCCCTTCGCCAAGCCTCGGACACCGTCCTCCCTCACGGTTACGGAAAAACCATTGCCGATGCTCTTGTACTTGTCTGGGTTCACCTTAGGAGAAAAAAAAAAAAGTACAGTAAGGACCAGGCCAGTGCATTTTCTCCTCAACTTTTTCACCCCTGCAATTTGGCGAGTAATTTTAATCTTTTCTAAATGGCCTCGGCCATTTAGAAAGGACATTTTAAATTGATCAACATTACGTACAACATGCCAATATACGACATGGCTGACTGCGTTTCAAATTAGCCTCATTTCATGAGCTTCTGGGTCATGAGTGCATTTTGGAGCCACAACTGAGAATTCTTGCCGAGGCCAAGCTTTAGATTTCCATACAAACCTGCAGACGACACTTGACAAGGTCGAGGGGTACTACCGCTGTGTGCGTGAGGCCGCAGCTCAGGATACCCCCAAAGCCACACAGGGCATAGTACTTGGAAGAGCCAAACTCGCAGCTAAATTCCTCTGTGTGGTACAAGGGGACAACAAACATGCAACATGCAAAGGGTCACATGCAAAACACAAAAGGGGAAAAAAAAAATCAACACCAATTCAGAGCCACATAATGGAAGAGTTGTCAAGAAATCCCCAAATCTTCGAGGACACTTTTCCACTGGATGGTAAGTGATGCAACTTTACACGCCACAAACTGTTACATTTCTATAGTTGCAACACTGCCTGTTATGGCAAAAAACATGTTTATATTGATGTAAATATTTCGAAAAAGGTAATTTTAGACAATTAGAGAGTAGAGTTGCCTCAAGGCAACTCTATACCAGGCAGTGGAAAAGGAAGATGACAGTCTCAATTCATTTTTTAAAAAAGGACTCTTCCTTTTACATGGCTGTCTCACACATGCCACAATTTGTTGGAACACCCAAAATATCATTGACAAATGATTTCAGTTTGAACTTGAATGGACCACAGTGATGTTTTCAAAGTCCTGAATCGTACAAAACATTTGAAGTTTCATACCTAATTAACAATGTCAAACTGCAGAATAGTCGCTGCACAATGAAGTCATTATTACGCCCATGAATTTGTGCAACCCATCAGTGTGGTCCAAGATCCCCGACAACAATTATATCCACATTTAAAACATTTCTTAAATTTTTATGACATGGAATGTACTTTTACCTTTCAAATCAGTCTTACCTGACAGGTCAGAGGCAACGCTAATAAAATGATGACTCATCATAAATGTAATCCGTATCTCGCATTCAAATTGAGACAGAAAAAAAATTGTAATGGATTGCCCAGTCAATGTTGATCAATAATCCCTCACAGTCTCGTCTCCTTGACCTACACTCTCCCTCCATTGGCTTAAGAGGAGAACGGGTCAAATGACATCACGTGCGTGCAAGTCAATCAATGAGGTACGAGGCATGCCGCCATGTAGTGATCACTCCAATCTGCATGCCAGGGTGGGTGGCAGGGGTGGGAACTTCACAACTGGATTGTCTCCATTTCTACATGCAAATTCGGTACTTAAAAAAAAAAAGTATAAAAAGGGGGGATGTCATGGATGGAGTGCAAAAACTGACACCGAGCCGAAAAGACAGACCTGCATTCTGCATTTGACCAGATCGAGGGGAACGACTGCTGTGTGTGTGGTGCCACAGCTCACAATCCCACCAAAGCCACACAGGACCAAATACTTCTGAGAGCCAAACTCACAACTATCTCCCTCTGAGGAAACAGGTTAGATTTAAAGGGAAAACAAATCCATAAGTACATAGCATTAAGCTAGATATAAAAAAGAAGAAAAAAAAACGCACGAGTTAACCTGTTGCTCTGATAAACCCAAGGCGGGAATGAACCATCAGTTGCAAATTTACCAGCTTGGCATTTAAAAGAGAGCTGCCAAAGCAAAGGGCAACAGTGTTGTCAGAAAATAAAGCAAAGTGACCTCAGTTTCACCAAACTCTCCTCTCCCATCACTAATAACTACACTTAGGTTATCAGCTCTATTTGAGCCGCCCAACTTGATTATTAGTAGAGGTCAAGCATAAGGACAACACTCTTGACCAAAGTATTATAATTGCAATTATCTTCCCCCCAAAAAAAACGGTATTCCGCTTTTACAACCAGGCCTATTGTGAAACGCCAGGACAATTTGTTCTCGTTTATCGACAGTGGCCACAAGTCTTCACGGTGAATATGTAACGATTGCAATTAAATTAATTTAGGCCATGTTGACACCGGCATTGCAAAGATTATCCCACGCCCGTTTCAGTTTGACGCTGCACAAAAGGGAGATATCAATGTGTCCTTCCTTGTCCTCCATTAGCGGCTTAGCTTTCGCAATGGCCTGAGTAGTTGTCACGTCGCTTAAGAGCACCGACTACAAACGTCGAGATAGATGCATTGCACTGCAAATAGTAGCAAGTAAAAATGAAAAAACGGGGCCAGGATGAAGGAACAATGTGATAAAACCGGTTGGCTAGGCGAGCGCCGCTAACACGAGTCTTGAAGGAGGCGGCCTGCGGAAGAAGGGGGGGGGGATCGTTACCGTCTGCCGTGGCGGCTGCTGCCAAGCGGCGCGTCCTCTGCACACTCTGCTGTGGTTCCTCCACTTTCTGGAGGGTGAACAAGGGGGCGCTGAATGGATTGGCCCGGGCCAGCTGTGTCAAAGTAGAGGGATACATGCTGGTGGTCCTGCCTGTCCGCGGAGCTGCGCTGCAATGAGGCAACAAGTTAGCTGTGATCGGGTTGAAGCTACCGGGAAAACGACCCACCCCACGCCGATCGGCGTGCCACAACGAACCCGGAAAGAAAACACGAATGTCGCGGCGTTTGCTTATTTAAGACCATCGACCACCGTCGTTCAAGCGTGTGTCGAAAATACAATCGATCTGCCCTGTCAGACCCATGCATGCACTCCTAGCTTTGATGCTACACCGCAATGCTAACTTGACCGCTACAAGGTGGAATGTTTGCCCCGGTGTCAAAACAAGGAAACGAACTATGACAAGAGGTTTTCTGGAGTTGACATGCCATAAGATGCCAAGCAAACTTTATAACCTTGACGGATGTTGACCACGTTTGCTTTCGAAGCGACAAATTGGAACTTACTTTGCGTGCGTCTTAAGATGGCGCCTCCACTTAGCTGCAAACCGGCGGCTCCGAAAGAGAGAGAACGACCTCCCGGTAGAGCTTTGTCCTTTCGTGACGTCACAGACCGACCTGTGGGAGGGCTTATTGGCTTCTTCTGCGATGCACGTTGAATAAAATTGCTCTTTAGTACACCTACCGGTAGAAAAAATAAATACACCACTACGAGCTGTTTTTTAAAAAATGATACTGAACAGCAAATTTTAAGCCTATTTTAGACACCTATTTCAAAAATGTCGTTACTTTTTAAGGCATGGGACATTTAAATTTTTAAAAGCTTGCACAAAACCAACAAACTGACCAAAACCTTTCGCTTAAACAAAATTTAAAATGCATTCCACAGAATCGCGTATTTATAGTTTGAGTAAATTCAATAAAGTATTTCAATTATTGTGACACAAAAACAATTAGGTAGAATGTAGTAAGACATTTATTATAAAGAGAACACTGAAGAAAAATATTTATAAGGCTTACATTATATTTGGATAATAAGCCTACAAAGCTGGCTCAAGTACAAAATAAAAACCCATCTACCTTCAAGGCTACGACTAATAAGACTTGCGCTCAAAGGCAAGTGTGAGAAGCAATCTTTCATCCACAGTAAGTTCAAACACACCATGCAAGTATAAAAAAAAAAAAAAAAAAAGATACAAATACAGTATTAGTGAGTCCACATCAGTTATGGTAATTTGGGCTTTTATATAAGTGGCTGGCTTTGTCCTGATTTCAAAGGATGGGCCAACATCCAGTCAGAAAAAAAATGAGGAAACAACGTGGACAATGATCATTTCATCATTTCAGACCATCTACGGAAAAAAAAGGTGATTCACAGATAAATGTAAATGTTATGAGCAATCAGTCCTCCCCGACTACCTTCACCCCAAACTTCATGCTTTGCTGGCCACGTTGGAGTCAGCTGTTGAAAACGGGTTCATGGTATTGGTTTCCATGGCTTGGTAAATAAAGAACATGAAAGCGGCACCTACTGCCACGAGGAGCACCTTTTTCCACAGAGACATTCCCGGACGCACCACTTTTGTTGGACCAGAAGGTGGAGGTGCAGACAGAAGCGCGGACGTGCTCCTGCTGGACAAGCCTTTCGAGGAGGAGGAGTTTGGCAAGCTGTTGATTCTGTTGATAACGCGGCTCTCTGTGTAGGAGGAAGAGGTGGAGGTGCTGAGGCTTTTCGTCGTTTTGGGAGAAAAGAAAAGAGAGCTCTCGGCATTCCAGAGATCGCTGGAGATCACCGGGCGACCGGCGGCTCCCCGGATTGGCCGCCTGCAAGTGGCCCTAAAAAAAAAAAAAAAACAATTTGTGGTTGAGGTCTTCCAGTTGTTGACAACTCCACAGCCACACACAGAAAAGCAGTAAAAGGCATTTTATATTTTTTTAAAATGAAAGCATTCCTAAGTACTCTGTACTCAAGTACTTACATGATGCCTGTTGGACTATTGACATCACTGACAAAGAGCTCTTTCAGAATATCGTTCTCGTCCACCTTGGGGGTTTGGTCATGGGCTGCTATCTTCTCCACCTGAATAGGCAGAAAAATTGAGAGGATTGCGGACTATTTTTTTGCTAATGGAAAGCAGAAAAAGGTAAAGGCAGCAAACCCGTTCCATTCAACATTCCAATTTTAGAGGCTTTTTTTTTACGCGCAGTGAAACGCGGGCGACGATATCGCGAGCAGACGGCAGGGGTGAGAGCGAAAAGTCAGCCATGAAAAGAATCTGCCATGCCGTGGAAACGGCTAATCCGCGTCATGTGCTTCCCGTCTGACATACGGCGTGGCTTGAAAAGGGATTTGAAAAAGAACCCGCAGGCTCACTCTACAGTGGGAGTGACTGCACTGTACTCAAGCATGTTAAAAAAAAAAAAAAAAAAAAACACAACAAAAACAAACAAACTGAATTATGGCAGAAACTCTGAAAATGAACACGTTAGCAGCAACAACGCCTAACGGGCAATAACCGGAGGGGGAGGAGCTACGTACTGTCTTGTGCTCGCTGCTGCGAGTGCGGGTCACGAGTGGCATCTTCCCTCGGCTCCGAACTGGCCTCTCCACCACCGGAACTGGTTCAGGTTCAGGTTCAGGTTCAGCCACTGGCTCGGGCTCCAGTTCAGCTGTGACATCTAAATAAAAAAAAGGTTAGGATACAAATCGGACCTCTTTGAGAGCCACGTGAAAGTCGGTATGCGCGACGCAAAAGACGCCGCTGCATTTTCATCCCACCATAATAAATGGAATTTCAATGAACTCCTCTCCTGTTTCCACATATGCCATGTGAAAAAGTGGGCGGTTTCAAAGAAGCGATGTTAAGGTGGGCCGCAGGGGCTTACCGTCCTCCTTGTCGCTGTAAAGGTCCGATTCGGAGTTGCCGTTGTGGTTGACTTGGATGTCGGTCACCACTATCTTTGTGATTGTCGTCTGCGCGGGGCCGTCATCGAGGAGCTTCTGCAGCTTCTTCTCGTACAGTTTGCGCGTTGATGCTGTGCAAAATGGACACGGCGCTTGTGAATTTTACCGCCTGTGTGCGGTGAGTGACGTGGGGGGGCGCACACAGCGTGCGAAAGAGGCGCTCACCAACAATCGGGCCGGCATCGACTCCGTGTTTGAGCAGCTCGTCCCTTAGGTAGTCGTCAGTCAGGGCGGTCACGTCCAACTCGTCCGGCCGAATCCTGTCCGTCTTCCTGGGCGCTTTCTGCGAAAAACACGGCAGCACTGAAATGGCGGGACGAGCGATTTTGTTTCCTCCCGTGACCTTGTTGACGTTATGTCGAGCATAGGACATTTTAAATTTGTCCCACAGACCGAGGAATTAACACTGTTTTAGCTGCGTTACCATTCCTCTCCAAATTTTCAGATTGGAAAAATGAGATGCCAGGATACTAAACGTTCTTTTTTTCCTCAGTTCACTTTGAGTGACGGGATGTAAAATCATACTCCGCGCACGGCCAACCCATCACACACCCTCGGCTGAAGAATGTCCACTTTGTGCTTCATTTCCTGAAGAATGTGGCCTCACGTTTTTCATGAAGCCGAGCTCATCGAATATCTTCACAATTCCTGAAACGTACTTTTCAGCTCGACACCTGGAGCACTCCGCTGCATGTAATGACTGCATGAGGTAGAGTTGAGGGGGCGGTCTTGATTTGAGCTCCAGCCAAGTTTTTTTGTAATCACAACAGTCTGGCTGAGGAGAGCAGGGGGGGAAAAAAAGAGGAAGGCAGAACCAGCCCGCGTTTCCCTCCGCTGCGGAGCACGCCCTCGCTTTCAGGGACATAACTAAACCCTGAGGTCATTAACTGGATGTTAGCCCGCAAGCTGTATGGAGCAAAGCCCCGTGCAAGCGCCATCGGTTTTTCCTTTGTGGCCCCTCTTTGCAGCCCCCCAAAAAGAATCGTACATCTTATTTCTCCCAAAACGCTTCACTACTCGCTTCTCAGTTTTTTGGGCACGTGATGGGATCGCCGGTGGGAGGAGCAAAATGTGGAAATGGGGGAGTGAGGAACAGCAATTAAACCAGATCAAGGCATTTCCTTCCCAGCGTAACCACTCGTCTCCTGCAGCTCGACGACTTTTTATGAAGAGGAGGAGGAGGAAAGCCTTCACGCATGACAATCTCCGCCTTCAGATTACTATTTGAAAAATTTGAGGAATGAAGTGTGGTGCGGATGTCTTTCTGACAGGGAACAACACGACTACAACACTTAAAATGTATAATTAAAAAAAATGATACATCAATCAAATAAATCTACCCAATAAATCTCCCTCACATGAACAGGAAAAAGTGCGCTTTTGTCACCTGCCCGCACAGATGTCTTTTAAAACTTAACACCGCAAATAGATCGAGTGGCCCCCACAGGCAGCCAAATATGGCACGTGCGACATGTAAGTTTATACTCGCAGTTCATTCAATCCTCATGTCAAGTGGCGCTCCGAACAAGCAAAGACCATCAACTCAGTGGGTATCTCAAGAAACAACTCCACAAGTGTGTTTTCATTTTCAGGAGAAGACGAGCTCCAGAATGCACAGAATGTGCAGAGTCAGGAACATCAAGATGAAATACTTGCACTTGAACATTAAAAAAAAAAAAAAAAAAAAGAAAAATCAGGCAGAAGAGTGACACCCAGTTGGATCTCTGGCCAGTTTGCAAACGTCTGCTCAGTTGGCTTTAGAAGTCACGCGAGCCCCTGCTTCAAGGAGTGAGGAATGCAGGCAGCTGTTGACGGAGGGGGATTATTACCGAGGAACGTTGAGAATTTTCGAACCAACACAAAACCCAGATTCACGCACGAGCTGTCCACACTAGCGGGTTTACGGATCTTCCACATTGGGTTATGTGTTTTATATAACCTCTTGTGGAAACAGGCACCGTATTGTAAAACTAATGCCCATGCCAACTGATAAGCTGGAGAGGGAAAAACCTTCAGCTGTGAAGTGCCATCTTAAGAACGGGGGGGGGGGGGGGGGGGGGGGGGGGGCGCACACTCATAGAAACCACCAGAGGGCCACGACAGCTGACATGAAATTTAAACCCAAAAACAAACGGGCCGTTCTGGCCAAATTTTCAGAGCAAAAACAGATTGACTTATAATGACCAAACGACACGTGTTTAACTTGTTTGGAGGTACAAAGTTGGAGCAAGCATTCACACCAAAACTTGCTCCATATGGTTACAGTACGTGTCTTTCGAATTGAATTAAAACACGTTGCGGTTTTACAACTGTGAGCCAAAGGCTTTCATAAAGTACTCACTTTGCCCGATGAGCGGTTTCTGCTGGAGACCACGGGCGGGGGCAGCTCCTCGTCACTCGAGAAGCCGTCCCAAGTCGCGGCGGCGACATGCTTCTTGTTCTGCGCGGTCAAATTCTCCAGATAAAGCTGAACGTACACGTCTTTGTTGTGGTTGCCGGTCGGGAGCTCCACGTTGTGGGCCAGCAACTCGCTCTTAAGCTTGTCCTTGGTGAGCTGCGACGGGTCGTCCATGTATTCCGGCATGTCGGCGTGCGAAGACAACAACCGGGGTGAACAGGCTAGCTTACTCCGAGGGAAATTCTGGGAGGGAAAAAAGAAGCGGTAGAGATTGGTGAGATGAGAGCAACTAACTGGCGCCTCTTACTGGAATTATTCCGCAAAGAAGGATATTCGCAGTTAAAACAGATAAAAAAAAAAAAGACTTGTAACCTGAAGTTGCGGCTTCTTTCTCTGTCCTAATGAAGTCACGTTTTAATAGGCGGTTTGCGGAAAGTGGGAAGAAGCTCCTTCAGCCTGGGTTTCGGGAGTTGGCAATCAACTTTCGGTGCATTAGCGCCACCTTGTGAAATGGAGTTCGAAGGACAATTTTGGGGAAAAGCTGTTGGCGCTTGAAAGTGACGTAACAGGGCGGGGCCTTTTGTGATTGGCCTACAATGGGTCATGTGTGAGGTGAGTGTGATTTTCTATTGGTCCGAAAAAAGGGCGGTGATTTCTAACGAAGAATTATCGCTCCAATGGGCACACGCACACTCGTGGTTTGGTCCCGCCTTTAATCTATTTGCGCATTTGATTGGTCGTTACCCGCGTCTGTTAAACTGTGATGTCATCTTCAATCGCCAGTCAGTGGCAAAATGGCGGCCCCCTTAGATGGGTAAAAAGGGATGGCTTTTCTTCTAACCTGAAGTTGTGGCTTCCTTCTCTATCCTAATGAAGTCACGTTTTAATAGGTGGTTTGCGGAAAGTGGGAAGAAGCGTCTTCTGCTTGGGTTTCGGGGGTTGGCAATCAACTTTTGGTGCATTGAGTTCGAAGGACAATTTTGGGAAGAAGCTGTTGGCGCTTGAAAATGACGAAATAGGGCGTGGCTGTTTGTGATTGGCCTACAGTGTGTCATGTGTGAGGTGAGTGTGATTTTCTATTGGTCCAAAAAGGGGCGGTGATTTTAAAACGAAAAGATATCGCTCCAATGGACACACGCACACTCGTGGTTTGGTCCCGCCTTTAATCTATTTGCGCATTTGATTGGTCGTTACCCGCGTCTGTTAAACTGTGATGTCATCTTCAATCGCCAGTCATGGCAAAATGGCGGCCCCCTTAGATGGGTAAAAAGGACTGGATTTTCTTCTAACCTGAAGTTGCGGCTTCCTTCTCTGTCCTAATGAAGTCACGTTTTAATAAGCGGTTTGCGGAAAGTGGAAAAAAAGCATCTTCTGCTTGGGTTTCGGGGGTTAGCAATCAACTTTTGGTGCATTAGCGCCACCTTGTGAAATGGAGTTCGAAGGACAATTTTGGGGCGAAGCTGTTGGCGCTTGAAAGTGACGCAATGGGGCGTGACCTTTTGTGATTGGCCTTACAGTGGGTCATGTGTGAGGTGAGTGTGATCCGGGGTTGGCAATCAACTTTTGGTGCATTAGCGCCACCTTGTGAGACGGAGGTCTAAGGACAATTTTGGGTTAGGGGTAGCCTGTTCAAATGTGATGTCATCTTCAGTCGACAGTCAGTGGCAAAAATGGCGGCCCCCTTAGGTGTGTAAAAAGGAATGGATTTTGTCATTCCACAAACGCAATATAAATCAGAATACCGTGTTTACAATAGTGGTGCGGCATAGAACTTATTGTAAAGAATAATTTTGACTTAACTTCCCCATAACGTATGATTAAACTTGTTTGGCAAAAATGATTTATTGATAATCAAAGAAATGCTTGCACAGCCAATAATGGATGAAAGCTTGAAACTAATTAGGGCCGCTGCAAGGTCCCTAGCGTTTCTGTCGACATTTGTATTAGCATTCCCCATAATGATTTGCATTTTGGAGGGGCTACATGTCACAAAAACTCAACAAAACTTTGCACACATAAAGGGCCTAATGAAAACATTGATATTTTAAAAGTTGTCATACATGAGTAGAAAGAAAATTCAGTTTATATTAGATGTAAATGGAACAAAATGAAATTATCACAACAAAAATAAAAGACCATCATAGAATGGATGATGTTCCATTTTGGAGGTTCCACTCCAACACTGTAACATAAAATTTCAGCAAGTCAAATTCTTAATGTTTTTTTTATGCTTAAGAAATCAAGATTCCTGCAAAAAAAAAAAAAAGAGACAATTTTCTTTCTTTAGTGACAAATATTTATACAAAATACTGTAAACACAGTTTGTACAGTTCATTCATGGGGAAACTTTGTAATAAATGCTAGCCACTGATATGAAAAAAAAATCTACTTTGCCAAACATTAACAGAATGGACATATAAATGAAGCAAAAACATTTACAACACTTGGTTTTTGACCACAAAGCCATTCCTGTTGGCAATCCACATGGTTTACTTTCAAGATGCAGTGAGCAACTAAACAGTGGAGCAAGACAAAAATGACCTTCATCGCATCTGTTGTGGATGTGCTTAAATACACAAAATGACAGTTTCAAAATGCGATCAAAACTTCTTTCCTGCTGCAATGTCCAGCATTTAAATGGCCTAACACATGTCAGGGTGCACGCGACTTGCCTTCAATGGACTTTACGGTCGTGACAAAAGAGGATCAGATCTCCTCACGTTTGCCTCTTAAATACACATCCTCAAAGTGTAATTCAAAGACCAGATGTTTGAATATCGCATGTGTTAGCTGTAATCAGAGCTCCGAGACAAAAAACAAACAACAGCATCTCATGAACAGCACAAATAAAATGCTGCGCTTCAAAAGCTTTGTCGAATTTAAAGGAGAGGCACAAAAAAAAAAAAAAAAAACAGACAAAACGGCAAAAAACTTGTCCACTATTCATTCTTGCAGAAGGTTGTTGATTTCAATACTCCACGTATTCTGGGAGGCCTTTGGATGCCTTCAATTCCCCCAGTGTGATTTATCAGTTGGGGGGTGGGGGGGGGGTAGTTTGGTCACTCGTTGAGTAACAGACCGATGACCTATTGATGGGCAGTGATGACAAGCGCAGAGAAGCGAGTCTTTCTTCTTCTCCCGCCTGCCGGTGGGTGTCGTTACTGAATGTAGAACCTGAGCAACTTGAAATCGTTTCCGTTGGCGGATGGCGTCGCTTTGTTGAAGCTGCTATTTTCCAACAAAGACGTCTTTGCGTACAAGGATGTCAGTGTTATACCATGGTGTTGCCCTCGCTCGCTTTGTCCACATACTGAAAAGAGAAGAAAGCAGCCGTGGTGACTTTTGGTTTAGAACATGTAGCCCCCCCCCCTCCTCCCCCCCCCCCCAAAAAAAAACAGCACAACAGGACATGATGTGTCATATCTTGTTGTCACAGATCCCCCTAATTAAACCGATTGATTGTTTTTACACTTTCTCTTCACGCTTGCATGTTACATTAAAAAATGCTTGTGAGTGACAAGGATTCGTAGTGGCAACTGTTTATTTTCCTGTCGGGGGGCAAAAATGTGAAATCTTTATCCATCACCTTCTATAGGTTGTGTTCCACCGGGTTTGTCTTAAAGGGACATTGGACGATATTAACTCCCGCTATACTGTGTCTGTGTGCGCCCTGCAGTGTGTGCCTAAAAAACAAAACAAAAAAACCCTGAAACCATTTTTGGCAATCAAAAAAAAAAAAAGAATAATTTCAGAAGTTTTTCCACCTTTTATGTGAACTATAATCTTTGTTATATATAGTTATGGGGTGAGGGCAAAGAAAAAAAAACATTAGGGGCCATCAGAATATCACGTTTAGACTTTTGACTTGACGTTTGCTTTTAAGTGGCTCTGATTAATTAAGTTTGACGGTTCTTGTCGTAAAGATGGAAAGATTCCTGAAATGATTATCGTTAAAAATCAATCAATAAATAAATAAATAAATTTTAACACAGGTGCCTTTGAGCTCAACCTCTGATGACTGCTTTACGGGCATGCAAGGAAAATCGGCAGTGACTGACCACGACTGCTGATTATCCTACGAAGGCTTTGAAAAACAAAAGCACAGAAAAGAGTCACCCCAATTTTTTGTTTTCCCCCCACCACACCAGTCGTGTGGCATCTTCATTACAATGAGTTACTTATTGCTGAAATGAGATGGTGAAGGCAATTTCACTTGACACTAAAAGCCACGCTGAGAGTCACCCAAACAAGAGATTCGGATCAACGCATTTGGCGAACACTTACCGAACTGATGAAGGGCAGGTTGAGGATGGAGCCGAGGACAGGTATCCTTCGGATGAAGCCTATTACGACGGGGAAGAAGCCCCTGGACCAGCGACAGAAAAGATGAGACACGGGTGTCGGCATTTGCTTGACCTCGAAGTGGCGCGACTTTGTGTGCGTGCAAAGCGCAGGTTTCACCGGTTGTGGCGACGTCTTACCTGAAGAGGAGGAAAAATCCATACACCTCCAGCACAACGCCGATGATGGGCCAACCGATCAGCACCACAAACACGCCTCCCAGGAAGAAACCGGTGGCTTTCATTTTGTGTTTTTGGAAAAAGAAGCGGAAAGTCCGCTCGAGGCCAATGACAAAGGCAAGTCCGGCGACAAACAGGATCTAGTGGACCAAAAAAACCAAAACAAAAATGACATGGTGCAATATGAGCAAAACACAGAAGAGTCAACCCCTGCAATGCAACATCCACACTCACGTTGCCAATCGCCAGGAGTGCTTTGTCAAAAAATAGGATCATCCCGAAGAAGAGGAAAAACACGCCAAAGCCTGTTAATCCCATCCCGATTTCTGTTGGGCACACAAAATCACACACATAGAGACACTTGAAAGCCATTTTATGACTTCTGGTATATTTATCTGATTTTTGTATTTCCTTCTTTTTTTTAATGCAAGGATATGAACAAAATAATCAGTCTTATGGTACTAACGGCACATAGAGCATATTTGCATGGCGTTTCTCACGATTTGCATGCAATTTAAAGACGAGAACGCTCACTCAGACCAGATAAACTGGAACTCAAGCGTACTGCACTCGTACAACAACAATTTGCAAATACGGGAAAACGCACTATAAAACGAATCGTTGGAAAAATGCATGCATGATCCTGTTTCACCAGTAACGTGTTTTCCCTGCAAAAAAAAAAAAAAACAGTCGCTCTGGCAGGTGTGGTTAATACTTTTTTTGCATTCTATTTGCTTCAGCATTTTCCCGATTCCATTTCCAACTGTTGTTGTTTTTTTCCTTTCACAATTAAGCATTGTTCCGTTTAGAATGGTCCCATTATTCCTGAGCAAATGCATATCTCTAACGAGACTATTTTGCGGATGTTCAAAGCAATTTATCTTAATTCAGAAACAAAAACATTTATTGCACAAAAGAAAGTGTAACGTCGGCATGCATGGCTGTGGGAAAAAAAATATGAGAGCTAGTCTTCCTAGCCTCAAATGCTAACAACTAGCTCACGAAGCCGGGTTCGTACAGCAAGGGGAAAGCGACTTGGATTGATCAGCAAAAGAAAGCCTTACTTTGCGAGTCCGTTAAGGAAATCATATTGGCAGTAATTTGACCAGTGAGTGCAAAATACAGCTATAAGGTTGAAGGGTTCATCCAAGAATCTTAAGGTTGACAGCTGCCACTGCAGCAACAGCCACGTCTTCCGGAAACACACCCTCGCTCCATGACAACTTCCGGAATAGCATTTTAAACACTCCTCACGCTTTATAAGAGAGCAAATTACACATTTATATTTATATATATTTATATATATATACTGTACGACCTCATTACGGTACAAAATAAAATTTCAAATGTATAAATTTTGTGAAAAAAAGACATTTAATTGCTGTTGCGTTTGTAAAAAACATTTTGTATTTTACGGTAATTTGCGCCGATGAGCGGCGTTGTTCACCTTCAAAATAAAAGCTCTCCTCTTCTTTTCCTTTCGTCTTTTCCCTTCCGGGTCGCCATAGCGAATCAGTTGCCTCCATCTAACGCCGTTTTGTGCATCCTCTTCTTTCACACCAGCTATCTTCATGTCCTCTTTCATTACATCCATAAACCCCCTCTTTGGTATTCCTCTCGGCCTCCTGCCTGGTAGTTCAATTTATCCGTGCCTGGGACCGGCACAATAAGTCACTGTCTGGTGCCCCCTTGTGGCTACATTAAAATAAAAGCTCTCCTACGACAGTAATGGATATACAGGACGTCAGTACTGTAGTTTGAATTTAAAATGACGTTAGAAAATAATTTCTTCACCCAGGAAAAACGAAAACTGTCTCAGAATAGCACCAAGAAGTGTTCTGAAGTTGAGACAGAAAATAAAGTCAATGTTAACTCGGCATCAATGACGAAAATGTCACCGTTTTTTTTTTTTTTTTTTTTTTAATTAAAAAAAATGTTTTTGTTATACTGGAACCAGACGAGGTCAAGGGAACAACAGGCAACACCACGTTTCCAACCACAGTACTTTCATTAAGGCTTGGTCTTCTCTCGACCTGATCTGGTTTCAGGATAACGAAAATTAATTTTGAATGTTTTTGTTTTCTTTCTTTTTTTTTAATCTGGTGAAATTGTAGTTATTCTAATTGCCCCACGGAGATAAATAAAGTTTTCTGAATCTGAATTTATGTAGAGTTAACATTGATTTGAGTTTACGCTTCTTGACGCTAATCTGAAGCAGTTTTCATTCTCCCTGGGTGAACTCATCGTTGCCTGCCCGCTAAGAAATTATTTTATAACATTAGTGTACTGTATTTTAAATCCAAACCACTGACGTGCATGTGTTAGTTGGATAGCTTTTATTTCGAAGGTGGCCAACGGCGCTCACCGGCAGCAGATTACCGTAATGCAGAGTTTTAACAATTAGTGCGGCGTCTGCTTTTACTCACATTTTGCGAGGGCGGGAGCAGAGAGAACCAGTTAAATGTACTGCGTTATTTTAACCGGTAACGGAGTCAGCAAGTCACGCCACAAAATTCAACCCCTTTATTCTACATCTTAACTGATCGACATTTAATGTTTGTATTTTAATTTATAATAAATTGAGTGACTTTCTGCTATTCATTCCGAATGGTAACCTGGGAGACAAAACCCAGGTCGCAAGCCCATAAAACTCCAACCATAGCAACCGTCAAGTGTGTTCAACAACAAGGAAAGCGAACAGCCTTCGAATGGTCAGTTGAATTGTTCGATGTTACTGAAGTATTTGAATTTTAGTACAGCTCGCTCTGCGTTCGATGGTGAGTATTACTTTCTTGAGCGTGATACTAATTTAGCTAGCTTGCTGCTTAATGTCTGTACAATCAACGTCGAGTTACAATTTACAGCGGGGGTGATTCAACATTTAAGAAGGCCATTAACTTTTTTTTTAATGGAAATGTTTGACCACTAACCTGGTAAAGTGATGGTGATTTTTATATGTCTTACAGAAGCGATAACGTAATAATTCCACCCTGCTGAAATACTTATTTTTTTTTACAGCATTCATATTTATGAGGTTGGCAGATAATTAACGCCCGTTCACACGATGGATGGTCTTGGTCAGACAAATGGTGAGTCTAGTGTGTAAAAGCAACCACAAAACCTTTTGCATGATGCTGTTTGTGCCAGGTGGCAAGAGAACCTAATAGGGACACAAGAGAGACATAATAAAGGCTGAAGGTGTTGGCCTCAGAGGATAAACTCGTGCAGGTGCAAGACCCGATTGCTTATTGTTGCAACTGTCTAACTGCATGGGAAAGAATTGCCTTAAATGTTTGTTGTGTCTCTCTTTCATGTTCCAAAAAACATTCAAGTTAGGTTAAATTGAAGATTAATTGCCCAAAGCTGGAAATGATTGTCTCTCTATTTTGTGACCTGACACAAAAAAGGAATACAAAATGAATGAATCAACGAATAAATTATGAATGTGATTAATTTCCTATTCTGTAACAGTTCACAATTTGTTCCATTTCCACCATTATGCTGCAGATGTTCAGGCTGAGCTGGACTCTGTGGAGGCCGAGCTGGAGCTCGTGGAGCTTCAGATAGAAGAGCTCCATGAAAAGAAAACCGAGTTGACTTCCCGCAAGGACGTGCTGCTGTGCAAGCTGGAGGAGGCCTGTGTTGCTGCATCTGCATCTGCATCTGCATCTGCATCTGCATCGTCTTCGTCAAGCCAGTCTTCCAAAACTGGCTCTGAAATGAGCAAAGATGAAATGCGGCACTATGATGGCACAGGTACGAACAAGTTGTAATGTTGTGTGCAGTGAAAATAATCAAGTTCACCACAATGAATCAATGACGTTTTCTCATTTTACTGTCCAACGCTTCACCTTTTTTTAGATTTTCCGTGGTCCAAAGATGTGTCGCAGCACCTGAAGGATTCGTTTCACCTTTCCAAGTTCAGACCCCTGCAGCTGAGGGCCATCAATCTGACAATGTCTGCAAAAGATCTATTTTTGGTCATGCCCACCGGCAGAGGGAAAAGCCTCTGCTATCAGCTACCTGCAGTCTGTTCCGACGGTACGCCGAGATCAAAGCGCAGGCCGTGTTTCGAGTCTTCCGCGAGCGATGAAATGCTGCGATCGTGGTATGATATACGCATCGGTAAACAAAAATATGTCTCTGGTAGGTTTTACATTGGTTGTGACTCCCCTGGTGTCGCTGATGGAGGATCAGCTCATGTACCTGAAGTCCATCGACGTGGCGGCAGTAATGCTCAATGCTTCTAGTAGCAAGGTAAATAACTTGGGGGTGGGGTGGTGGGGGTGTCAAATAACCCACCACACACATTTTTTTTTTTTTGTATCTCCAGGAGCACTCAAAGTCAGTTTTAGCCGGCATGATCGACAGGAAGCCCCCATTCAAGCTCCTGTACGTGACTCCGGAGAAAATCGCCAAAAGCAAGATGTTCATGTCCCGCCTGGAGAAAGCCAACAACGCGAATCTTCTGAGTCGCATCGCCGTCGACGAGGTGCACTGCTGCAGCCAGTGGGGGCATGACTTCAGACCAGGTCATTACTTCGAGATCTCGTGTGAACTGGGAACGCGCCCCCTCCCTAAGATTTTGAGTTTGCACCGTAAATGTCTTTCCTTCTGTAGATTATAAACTCTTGGGCATCCTGAAGAGGCAGTTTCCGACGGTGCCGGTGATTGGGCTCACGGCCACGGCAACCAGAGGCATCCTCAAGGACTGCGAAAAGATCCTGTGCGTGCAAAAGCCAATCTCGCTCACCGCCTCGTTCAACCGCAGCAATCTCTATTATGAGGTAGCGTCGCCACGAGAGCCGCGCTGTTTTTATCGTCGGGGTTAAATCCGTTGACGAGCCGCCGGGCAACTTCACGTCTCTCAGGTACGCACGAAAGCTTCTGACGACGCGTTGATCAACGACATTGCCTCACTGATAAAGTGCCGGTACAAGGACCAATCAGGTGCTGCCGTGAACCAGACGAGACAAAAGCGTCTGTACACACGCGCGTTTTTTTTAAAAACGCCGTTTTCCTTTTATCCCGCAGGGATCGTGTACGTGTTCTCTCAGAAGGACGCCGAGTCCGTGTCCTCTGAACTCCAGCAGAGGGGCATCGTGGCCGCCCCCTACCATGCCAACTTGAACCCCGACGATAAGTCTCGCGCTCATCGCAAGTGGACGGCCGGCGAAATCCAGGTGCGCATTGGGAACGCTACCCGTTATCTTCTCTGTGTCAACGCGGTGGAATCTCGTGCGTTTGCAAGGTGGTGGTGGCCACGGTGGCATTTGGCATGGGAATAGACAAGCCCGATGTCCGCTTTGTCATCCATCACACCATCAGCAAGTCCGTTGAAAACTACTACCAGGAGAGCGGACGGGCAGGTACAGTCATACCAAAGAATATCTCAAAATGATGTACAGTGCCGCGAAAAAAATTAAAAAAAAATCTTGACTCTGCTACTTTTAAAACTGACTCCAGGTCGGGACGATCTTCCGGCCGACTGCATCGTCTACTTTGGCTTCGCCGACATCTTCCGCATCAGCACGATGGTCGTCATGGAGAACGTGGGTCAACAGAAGCTGAATCAAATGGTGGCTTACTGCCAGAACGTCGACAGGTGACCTTTTCGCGCTGCCGCGGTCCCCCTTTGCGCGCCGTTATGTAACTCGCGGCCGTCTCTCTGCGGTCGGCAGCTGTCGCCGCTCTCTCCTGGCAGTTCATTTCGATGAAGCGTGGGACCGAAAACTATGCGACCAGATGTGCGATACGTGCCGCAGCGGAACAGGTTTGTGTGTCTGTGTGTGCGATATGAGTCAGTCGGAGCCTATTATGTTCTTAAGCGTGTGATAATCATGCGAAATCCAGCCCTTGAGGAGGATTCCGCCGCCTGTCACCTTAAGACTGCAGCGTCTTCCTGAAATCCCATCAAAGCGCCTTTTCTTGAGCGGCGGTCCCCTTGAATCATTTTCGACGGCCTGGCGCCACTCGCTCATAGCTGCTAATAAAATTGGCTTACGTTATCGAGCTAGCGAATGACTTTCATCTAAAGCCGGATGAAAAAAGTTGACTTCTGTACAATACCGATCAACCAACCCTCTCTCTTCATCATCAGACATCATCTCTGTGGACATCACCAAACATGCCGGGCAAGTGGTGCAGATTTTGGAGCTTGCGGCATCCGCGGATGAGAAGCTGACTCCGCTCAAGTTGGTGGAGGCCTGGATGGGGAAGGGCC